GGCAAAGACCTCTTTCATCATCGAAAGAGGTACCTACTGCTACAAGGTCATGCCCTTTGGGCTGAAGAACGCCGGGGCAACCTACCAAAGGCTGGTGAACAAAATTTTCAAGGAGCAAATCGGCAAGACTATGGAGGTCTACGTAGAAGACATGCCAGTCAAAGCTCTCGAGCGAGCAGACCACATCGAGAATCTTGTCGAGGCATTCAGCCTACTCCGAAAATACAACATGAAGTTGAACCCGAGCAAATGCACATTTGGAGTCTCGTCTGGCCGATTCCTTGGATACTTAGTCACCCAAAGAGGAATTAAGGCACATCCAAATCAAATCAAGGTTATACTCAACATGAAGTCACCTGCCACAACAAATGAGATACAAATTCTAACAGGTAGGGAGGCAGCTCTCAACCGCATTAGCGAGCCTAGGATCAGCACTGGACACCCAGTTCAGACGCTCCATCCCAGTTGAACACCTTGACCGGCCAAGCATCGAAGAAATAGAGCCGATCGACTCAATGCAGATTGATGAGGACCCCAGCTGGCAAGACCCTATCATCGACTACTTAGTGAATGGAAACCTGCCAATGGATAAGTCCGAAACTAGGAAGGTCCAGCAAAAGACCGCGAGATACTATATGCACGGCAGCAAGCTCATTCGTAGATCATACTCCGGCCCTCATCTCACCTGCATAAAGTACCCTCAAACACTTGAAGTCCTCTGCAAAATTCATGACGGCGAGTGTGTTAACGACTTAGGGGGCAGGTCACTCGCCCAGAAAACTCTAAACATAGGCTATTTCTGGCCTACCATGCGCCACGACTCCGCTAAATATGTTAAAAGATGTGATCACTGCCAACTGTACAAACCAGTTCCTAACCTACTTGCCGAAATCTACCATCCACAAAATAGTCCGTGTCCATTCATGCAATAGGTCATTGACTTAGTAGGTCCTATGTCATCAGCCCCTACCAAGAAAGACATGATGATCGTCACCACTGATTACTTTACTAAATGGATTGAGGCCGAAGTTCTATCCTCTACTAAAGAAGTTGTCTGGAAAAATATCATCTGCCGGTTCGGCTGCCCACAAAAGTTGGTCACTGACAATGGCTCACAGTTCATTGGCAAGCAGATCACCGCCTTCTTTGCGAAGTACAAGATCAAACAACACCTGTCCACTCCAAGGTATCCACAAGGAAATGGCCAGGCCGAGGCATCCAACAAAGTCATATTAGACTGCTTGAAGAAAAGGCTAGAATGCGCCGAAGGGAAATGGGTGGACGAACTCCCCGGAGTACTATGGGCTTATCGCACCACCAAACGGAGGTCGACTGGCGAAACCCCATTTTCCCTTGCCTATGGAACTGAAGCGATCATTCCTCCACACGTCATTGTCCCCTCTATAGGCATTGAAGTCGGCAGTATAGAGAAGAACTCCGAGCAGATGAGACTCAACCTTGACTTACTTGAAGGCGAGCGCGAGAAGGCCATTATCCGAGTCGCCTCCTATCAACAGCAGTTGAAGTCCTACTACGACAAAAGAGCTAAGATCAGACAGTTTCAACCTGGCGACCTTGTGCTAAGAAAGGCCTTCATCACTGCACAAAGACAAGGGTCTAAGAAAATGAAACCCAATTGGGAAGGCCCTTATGTGATCAGCCGGTCCGGGGGCAGAGGAAGTTACACGCTAGACACTATGGATGGGAAGGAAATAACCACGGCAATAGAATGCCTACCATCTCCGAAAGTATTATCCGTAATGCTTCCTACTGACTGCTAGAAGCTCCAAGTTTTTGTACTCAGTGATTTTCATTTTCGAATAAAGGACTGTAATCTTATGAATATCAATATAAGCTCAGTTTCTTATTCCAAAATGTCTCATCTACCCACAAAACACAACTGTTGTCCATAAGCAGCGTCCTTCGGGAGACGCAGGGCAACGACCAGAAGCGTCCTTCGGGAGACGCAGCCCATAAAAAGCGTCCTA